GCTGGTATCAATCCGTTCACATCGACGTTGCGGACGTCCACCGAAACGCACCAGGAGGTCGGCACAGACAAGTGCGTGGTCAGAGTCCACACTCGTGCTTCAAATCGAGCGACAGTTTTGGATACAGCCTCTCCAGCGGCAAATAATAGCAATGTGATCGATTTACGTCCATGGTTGGCCCGAGGCTGGTGGCCGCCAAGTCACGCTTCTGCGGGTGCTGTGTCGAAAGTTAGTGCTCGCGAGAAAGAGGCGAACATCTTCACACAGCTGTAGTTTACCATTATCATTACAAGAGCCTACACCATGTTGGCCGCCCAGATGAAGCTCATCAGAGGACAAATTTCCGACTTGGGCATTTAGATCGCCAGCCAACACCACAGTATCCGTGCTTCTTCTGTAACGAAGGAGCTCGTGAAGTTGCTGATAGAAATCATCTTTTACCGGATCAGTGCTACAGTTTGTAGGGGCGTAAGCCGCAATGACAAACAGGCAACGTTTGTCCCTGCGCGACTTCGTAGCACGGAACGAACCAGCTAATCGAACGGCGCACATTCTACTGTTTACTGGGATCAAATCAATCAGGGCAGTTTCAGCCCGGGGACTCAAAACAATGCCTACGCCAGCTTGACCAGCATTTGAAGCTGCATCATCGCCAGACAGGCGCAATGAGAATGTGCCGCCAGTGTCGCATGTGGGGGATCTCAGGGTAAGCATGGAGCTCGAACCTTGCAGGCGGGTTTCTAATAAACAGCAAATATCGATCGATAGGGTCTCTAGTGTGCGGGCAAGTGCTGCCTGTTGGCCAATCTGCAGCAAAGTGCGCACTTTGAGGCATGACAGTCTTAACGAGACGCGAGGACTCCAAAGGGAAACAGATGAACTGACGTTGTCCCCTTGGTTGAACATGGACTTGTCGACTGGATTGGAGCGAGGCCCTGCGATTGTGTGTGATTTGAAATTAGAAGACAAGCGACTATTGAAGTAAGCTGGGGGAGGGCCGAGAATTGGGGGGTTGAAAATGGGGGATATAAGTAAAGTTGGAGCGGGACGATAAGGATGAAGAAGCTCAAGAAGGGGTATAAGAAGACGGGAAGGCCTGAGCAGTAGCATCCATACCCCTATCCACCCTGTTCGATGCAGCAGATAGGGCGCCGTTAATTATCCTCTGCGACGGGCAGAGCATCAAGAAATTGTTGTAGGAAAGGTTCATTGTATTGCGTGGGCAGAATACTGTCAGGTTGCCCAGGCCTAGACAGGAGAACGATTAGGGTTCTCAACCAAAGCCTTTGGTTCAAAAACCTTACCGCAAGGCAGCGGGTTTTGGCACTGGACTACAGAGCCCGTTTTATGAAATGAGGAGCCACCCCCATTTCAACCCCCAACCTGGAGGACCAGGACGCTGAGTTTGTCTGGCCTCTAACCATTGAGCCATCTGGTATGAGTGGCTCTGGAGGTGCAAAAGCACCACCCAGCATAGCTCAATGGATCTCTGAGACACGCAAACCATCGCACCACGGTAAGGTCCAGCCTCATTGCGACGGTCACTGGAAGTGCACAGATAATGGAAGCATGCCGACCAGTAGGACTATGTTACCACCCGCTCCTTTCCATATTCGTTCAACCTCAAGCGGCTTCTTCCAACAACCATTTTTTAGGGGCGACGGGAATGGACTCACACCCATTCCCATCTCAGGTACATCCGGCGGAGGTCAACTTCTTGATCCCACTATTCCTTCAATTTTTCCAGATGACAAAGTTAGTCCGTTGCCAAACCAACGGTAAACTAAGCATGATGCCTGGGTTCCCGTCGTGCCCCCAACTGTCTCGATATCCACACATGACATGCTATCCTTAACAACAAACGTTCTAATGGCTAATTCGGGACCACCATACTCGCACTTATTTACTATGTACAACATGCTCGAACGCAAAGATGCGGACGACCACACAATGGACAGCGCTCATTCCCCAATACTTAGTACATTTTCAGTGACTCTGATTAATGCCAGATCCATAATCAATAAACTTCATTTTATAAACACACTTGCACAGTTCAATGACCCACAAGCGCTCCTCGTCACTGAAACATGGTGTTCTTCAGATACACTTGACTCTACTCTGATGATTCCAAACTACCACCTATTTCGAAAAGATCGCTGCGACAGAAAAGGTGGAGGGTGTACTATATACCTAAGCAAAACATTTACAGTTAAACCAATAGACCACTCAAAGCTGGAAAATATCCCTGAATCTATTTGGCTGTCAGCTGCTCGCATGTATCTACAACCCACCAAATGCGTCTAACGTATCACCAACATCTGCATTTGACTTCGCATCAGAGTTGCTACACAGCCAGAAGATTATTGCCGGCCATTTCAACCTACCGAAAATACGCTGGTCATCCCACCCAACGTCTACCTTGCATGCCTCTTTTCTTTCTTCCATCAGAGCTGGGGGCTGGACACAATGAATTACCAGTCCAACCAGGTCCGCCAATGTACTGGACTTAATATTCACATTGGGGATACCCAATCCACAGACCGAGATCTTAAACAATCGCCCTGGCAGCGACCATAACATGATCCGACTCAGCTTCCAAATTAAAATGGTCACTAAACTCGCCTCCACAACGCCAGCTGCAACCCATAAGATAAACTGGGAATGCTTTCAGCAGTTCATTCGTTTCTCCAACTGGGATGTATTTTTCCTCTCTACCAGTGTGTACACCGCTGTGGAGCAGTTCTATAAACAAATTCATCACGCTATAGCCCGCCTTGCTCCACAATGTATTCATAAACCCTCATATCTCTAAAGATTCCGTCGAGCACTCAATTAGCAGGAAAACAAAAAAGTTAGCTGCAAGATACAGAAGGATCGATGACTTTTCACTTGTCTTACAAATGCATGAATTTACCACCAAAACTAAACACGTGCAATTAACACGCCGAAAAAAATAGAACATACAGCCCTACGGACAAGCTTCAGAGCTAAGGAGCTTGTCAAATTACTGCATCGTAGAACCAGTGACCGCTCTCCTCTGATTACCGAAATTGTTGATGGCGAGGGTCACTTACTCAATGACCCAGCTGAAAGCTGTGAAGCAATCAGCGACTTTTTTGCCACTACCATGAGTCGCGAAGCTGACCCAGTGCCTGTGTGCACAGAGCTCACAGAAACAAACCTATTAAGTAGAGTCGATATCCAGCAATTTATCAAATTAACCAGACCATCTTCCAAGTTGTGATCTGATGGGATTTCACCAACTACCATTAAACTAGGAGGACCTGATATACCATTGCTACTGATGAGCATGTTCACTCTATCGCTGGAATCTGGCCACTTTCCAGACCAATGGAAAACGTCATTTATTATGCCTCGGCATAAAGGAGGTGCCAAACAAACGATTGATAACTACCGACCAATCCACTACACTCCGATAATCGCCCGGCTATTAAAAAAACTGGTCAAAATGGTGATGATGAAGTTTGTTGATTCTATTGGCCTGATCAATAATTCGCAGCATGGTTTTCTCAATAACCGATCGTGCACCACCTGTCAACTGCATTAACTTAATCACATTTCAGAATCAATCGATCTTGTTCCTTGACATACACCCAGCGTTCCACGGAGTAACGCAAAAGCGACGGTTACAAAAGTTGGAGAAGTTTGGGATTCGGGACCCATTACTAGGTTGGCTATCGTCATACCTGAGTGATCGTCATCAGGTAGTCACTTTAGGTGATTATCGCTCTTCCCTACGCTCAATCACCAGTGGAGTCATTCAAGGGAGCGTGCTCGGTCCTTTACTCCTTTTGCTTTACATCAATGGCATCACCACATCTGTAAAACATGATACATCACTTTTATTTGCTGACGATATCAAACTAGTCTATAAGTTTCGGTGTAACAACCTACACGGGACATTACTGCTCATTCCAGATGATTTACATTCCCTTGAGTCATGGCGCTGCACATGGGTGATGAACCTCTCGGCTATGAAATCAAGCATCATGTCTTAAGGCTGCTGCATCCCCGAAGGATCTATCACCCTAAACAATGAACGCGTCCCTACACAGTTGTCCACGCGAGAACTTGGCACTAGGTACTCGTCTACCTTCAATTTCTCCGAACATGCCCAATACTAAGTAGCATGTGCCAGACAGTTTATGTTCAATATATCAAACAAAACACACACAACTCGTGCCAGAGTAGGCCTTTTCAAGTTACTTACTCGCCCCATCCTCGAATACCGCAGCATAATATCCGGAAATATGAGAAAGTGACAGAATTGCTGTGAAGAACCTGCAGAGGTCATTTACTAAACATCTGATTGGTAAACACGCTGCTATGAGTTATCGAGAACGTTGCAATGAACTTCAGCTCGAACCACTTTGGATTCGACGATTGAAGCACAACTTGTTGCTGCTTTTCAACATGTTACACCAAAAGACCTATTCCAACTTGCCTACACTTAATTTGCAACATTGCTCTACCAGAGCGCTTCGCAACAAAGATTTTACATTGCATATACCGAAGGCTAGAACGAACCTCCGCTCTAATTTCTTCCTGATCAGATATAGGTATCGGTGAAATAAACTACCAATAATGCTCAGGTCATGTGACAGCGTGGCGACATTTAGTAGCAGACTCGCCAATTACTATCTATCTACCCTAAGCTCTATATTCCCATGGAAAAAATACCTAGATGAGCTATTCCAAGAGGGACCCAAAACATATAAACACCAATGTTTTCATAACCAGGCCTTGGCATCAACCATTCGCCAGAATGTTAATACATGAAACGCATATTCCAATACTCCACCTATGCATGTCACTCATGCGACAGCATGGATTCTTCCATACAAATTGATCGGTGCCGCTATTGATACAGTTTCTCTCATCAAGAGAAATATACGTATTATTATAAGTAATGAATACTTAGCATACCAAGAGTTGCCTGGTGCTAGGAGTACGCGCATAGGGCATATAATGGCGCTTACCTGAGGTACTCTACCGGATCTGATATCGTCCAAAAAGGAGAAGGAGCTAGGGTCAGTGTAAGCCCGCAAAGGGCCGTTATCCAAACTGAAACCGTCGCGCCACATTTTCACAAGCACGTTTGTTTCTTTCTCAGCTTTGTCCGCTGTGCTGGCTGAAGTGCAAGAAACCATCACATTCGGCTGGGTTCCTGATGTTTCGCTGGGACGTTCTCCAAGCCTAAAAGTGTGAAAATAAACAGTGCTATTCTACGAACAGAGATATAGCCATTGGCACCAGGGAGTAATTAGTCTAGTCACAGCAATGCAATCGATGGTTTTCGAGCTCACAAGCGCAGGTAAACAAAGGCTAGAAAAGTTCGCGGAGATGGAATTTAGTACGGGGGAATCGGCAAGACCATTCAAAAAAAAGTTAGCGAAACTTTGAAAGGCATGAAATCGCTATGAGAGGTGATGAAAATAAAAATAGTCATCTATCACTTACAACTCGCTCATTAGTGAGATGGAGTCGGTTGACACATCTAACGTGGTGATGAGTGAGCCGTTTGTCGCCGAACTAAGATCCACAACCGCCTAGATAAGTGATTTGATCCACCAGTTCGAATGATAGCGAGCCGGCGCAATCATAAAGTGGGGTAGCAGCCACAGTAGCAGTCAATATCACTCGTCTGTACTGGTATCTCGTTGCCAGGTAACCGTAAACGGTCGTATACGAGTGGGGATACCGCAGATATGCCCATAATGCTAGAAAAGCAGCGAGACGAATTCAGGGTGTAGAGGTTGTAAGCCAAACACCTGAAGCGCTACACCGTGAATCCCCTGGCCTATTCATACCTTAGCAGGCATACTTCACGAGTGCGAAACGTGTGAAAAAACGCTACGCGTCGATCTATAAAAAACTCTGTGTTGCGATGGAGTTCGAATAAAAGGGCCACGTAGCTGGCGTACTAAAGTTGAACATGTAATCAGTGGGACATTTTCCATATAGAAAGAAATACTTGGGGCAGAACCGTACAAAATCAACCGGATAAGAAAGTTGAAGAGAAAAGAAGGGATAGAACAGTGATAACAAAACCTTCTGATTGTGAGGAACTCAGAAGGCTTCACACAAATCCGCACACGTCCACAAGAGACGCAGCATAGAGATCATACAAAAAGGAGGAAATTCTCCGGAAAGCTCCTCAAAAGGACAATGAGCTGGATTAAAGGTAGTCTCCAATACAAGGGAGTTTACTTGTGGAATTTTCGTGAGTAGAGTAATTTCAGTAGAAAGTAGAAACCACGATTAAACTCCACACAATAATTTGCCTCGACGGGGAATCGAACCCCGGTCCCACGGAATTTAATCGTGGCTTCTACTTTCTACAATCATTACACTACTCACAAAAATTCCACAAGTAATCTGCCTTCGCCCTTTGGACATCAGAAGGACAGATACTTCGGTCCATTGGGAAGTGACGAGTGAGTGAGCCAATCTGCAACACAAGGACAGATACTGTGAGCTCATTGGCAATACGTCGCGCACCAAGCAGAAGTCATGGATTAAATTGCGCACCTAATCGTCAACCCTCGGTAGCTCAGTGGTAGAGAAGCGGACCGGCAATCCGTGGGACCGGGGATCGATTCCCCGTCGAGGCAGATTATTGTGTGAAGTTTAATCGTGGCTCCTACTTTCTACTACAAGGGAGTTTACCGAGATACCCTGTCTGCAGACATGACGCCGCTCAAAACACTGAGAAGGAACACAAATGTGCTCAAGGGATTCGTTCACCAACGAAGCAGAGGCCTGTCGGAAGACTAACCAATCGGATGAGTAGGATTCGTGTGGGGAGTTTTCAGATAGTGGTGATATGACCCATAGGTCGATGGAATACACAAGGTGCACTTCGGTTTTTGAGAGAAGGAATGACAACTAATAACCCCCAGTTACGGAGCACTGTCACTTTGCAGCAGAGTAATCAAGAATGAGTCGCCAGTGTTTTAGTTACGAATGAGGTCGTCAAGTTCAGGCGTATTATTCCATTTCAGCAGCATCAGTTCCTGGCGGATCTCATTGGTACGGTGAACTGCAACACCGTAGGTGGGCTTGGGCGACCTTAACAACGACGATAACGGACCGGACGGAGCCTCACAAGCGAACCTCCATATTCACTGCATTGTGCGTTAGACGGTTGAGTCAAAAGCTAAAGGTAGGACACCTCAAACACAACCCCTCTTTTGGAATGGGCTGTCGGAGCGCATCATCTACCCTCCCGACCCTGTCGACAATACTCCTTCTTCTTCTTCTTCTTCTTGTTTCCTCTCGCAATTCAACTCTCTGCTTCCCTGTCTATTGAACAAGAATTGCAGCTGACCTCGCAGCTGCTGCGATAGATAAATGTGGTTCTTTCATCTAACTGAGAGAATCATATTACATTGATTCTTTTAACGTCCGCCCTCTAGGTCAGATCGGCCAGCATGCAGCACGAACTCTCACTCTTCACTCTTCATGTTGATGTGTGCTGCGTCTCCGAAACACGCACACAAGATAACAGCGTACTCAGGAATTTTTTACTCTCTGGTTATGAATCTGACGACAATGACTACACTGCGTCTCTGGTGATACCGAATCAATGAGTCAAGATATTTACGGTGTTAATATCGGCCACAGCAAACATGCTGAAAGCAATCTGCTTAACTGGAGCCGGTGAACAGCTGCATGTGTGCGGTTCGACTTCGAACCTCTATTGGAGTCAACCAGCCCCGCCTTTTCATCACCTCGGTTTATGCGACTACTTAGAGTAGGGTAACAAAGACGACTTCTTCTGACAGTCCTCATCTCTTCTTCGGAAGACGAAGCATACTGATAACTAGACTACTGTTAGTGACCCAAGTGGGTCGTCTTGTAGACGCTGTACAACAGCTGGGAGGCCACTTCGGAGTGGATGCACGTTGAACAGACAATGGTGATCGATTCCTGCAACTGTGCGCCGACCACAATCTTTACCGTAGCAGCACAACTTTCCAGCACAAACGTTCACCCCGCGTCACCTGGCACTCACTGAGTACTGCAATGACTTGGAGGCAAATTGACCATACTATCATCAGCTACAGATAGCGCCCAAGACCGTCGGTCAACTCCGAGCACGTGCCTGGATTCCGATCATGTTTCAGTGCCCGCACGCTTGGTGCTCACTCTTCCCGCTTCAAAAGAGCGCCAAACATTCAAGTTTCTTACTTTTAACTGGAACTCGTAGCCTGCAGTTTAACGATATCATGACTAACTGACCCACTAATTGTCAGTGATGAAAGAGTTGGTGAGCCGAACAGCGACTGGCATTGCCTCAAAAGTGCCGTGAAAAAGTGCCTTTGACGCATGCTGTGCAATCAACTTGTGACGTCGTAACTGTGAATGGATTTCTAAGGTATCAACCAGTTTGATCGAAGCCTGAAAACTGGTTCCGATGCGCACTGTTTCAGCGTGTCTCAATGTCTCACAAGAAGTTTTCGAATCGACCGAGAACGTTTGTGGTTGATAAGAGCCCGTGGATGGAGAAAGCCGGTGCTATTGGGAATAGCCGAATGCTATTCCAAGTCATCCGGAACACGAGTCTGAGAAAGCCATCAATTAGCGAGACAATAGTTGAAAAAGATGGACTGTTGATCCATTCTCAGCCTCATCGACTAGCTCGTTGGGCGGAACATTTTGAAAGGCAGTTCAGCGGGCACGCTGCGGTACCGTCAGTTGCCGAATCCTCTGAGCCGACATGCGAAGTTGTTGTACGTCGCACTTTGGAAGAGACTCGACATGAGCTTTCCGTGGTGAAACGAAACAAGGCTACTGGACCCGGCAACCTTCATCGTTGCTGAAAGACGGAGGCGACTTTTTGTTGACTGAACTTGCTGCCCTATGTAACACGATTTGGGACACTGAAGAGGTGTCTTCAGACTGGCGACTGTCAATTGTCGTGCCTATTTTCAAGAAGGATCAAGGACTTTTGCGAGAATCATCGAGGCATTAGTATTGTTTCCGTGGCATCCAAACTTCTCTCCAGTATCATCCTTTGACGGCTTATTGGTCCCCGTGAGGAGCAAATCACTGAAAGCCAGGCTTCCGCTCTGGTCGTAGTTGCATCGACCACATATTTACTCTTCGTCTAGTATTAGAGCGCAGCTAGACTATGGTGGTTTGCTTTTACTTGAAAACTGCCTTTGACTCTGCTGATTGCGCCAGCTTGTGGCGCTGTCTATCCATGAAGGGCGTCAGCTAAATTCCTTTCCATTATGCAGTCTATCTACCGTGAATCCTGAGGCCGTGTAAGGGTCTAAGGGAAGCTGTCTCCTGATTTCCCCGTGACAAGTGGAGTTCGTCAGTGTGGTCCTATATCTCTTTTTCTATTCAACTTTATTATGGAAATAATTATGTGACTCCATTCTTTCAAACTCTACCGGAGTATTCTGCTAGGTGACTGTCTGACAAACCTGGAGTAAGCGAACGACAGCTCTCCATGGGTCTGACGCAGTGACTGCAAATATTACTGCATAGACTGGTGTTTAGCGCTGCACGCTTCGGCATGAGCTTTGTACTTTCAAAGTGCAAAGTATTGTTGCAGGACAGGACAGATATACCACCGATTCTAGCTATCATGTGCTTGCAAATGACCAGGTGGTTGTAGCGAGTTCGGCGTGCACCACCCTTACCGAACTCGACAGTATGAATTGTCGTATGGAACAGGTGCACCAGCAACTCAACAATCTTGAAGGCACCAAGTCTGTTAGGTCTGACGGGCTCCACCCCCGGATTCACAAGTCCTTAACAGCCATCATCTCGCCTGGTATGACTGACCTGTTCAACAGATTTATGTCCGAAGGCCCATTTCCGATTGATTGGAAATACTCGGTGATGAGGCCGATTCCGAAAAGCGGTGACCAAAGCAAAGTAGATAACTACAGTCCACTTTGTCTGATACCTATTTTGGTCAAGGTTACAGAGAAGTTTGTGAAGAAGCGTTTGATACAGCTGTTCAGGTCAAAAGATCACCTGACGCCCGCACAGTACGGTTTCATGCCAGGTCGTTCATGTATCACCAACATGGCATGAATGGTTGCAAGCGTTGAACCAGAAGTATGTCGACGTTATCTACATCGATTTCAGCAAAGCGTTAGACAAAGTGAAAAATGAGGTCCTCCTTCTCAAGTTGAGAGTGTGCGGTGTTGCTAGATCGTTGCACCAGTGGATGCAGCACTTCCTTGTTGGACGAAAGTGGAGAGTACAAGTCAATAGCCACCTGAGTGAATGGTGTCCTTCGACAAGTGGCGTGCACAAAGGCACGGTGCCGGGAGCACAATTGTTCCTGGTTTATATCAACGACATACCTTAGCCTCTTCGGTCACCGTGTGCCCTGTTTGCAGACCAGCTGTAGATGTGGAGAGTCATAAGTACGTCCGACGACTGCGACTTATTTCAACAAGAACTAAACTGCCTTTCCATGTGGTCTGCAGAAGTCCGCCTCCCCGTCAACCCATTCAAGTCGGTAATCATGAGCCTGGGGAAGGGTGGTAACGGCCGAACCTACACTGTCGACGGCCAACTGCTACAACCCCCAACTTACGTGAAGGACCTACGAGTACTCTCACGTTACGATTTGAAGTTCGTTGACAAGACGAACAGGCTATATCGTAGGGGACTGCGCATGCTCTGGAAACTCAAACGCACTTTCTGTATCTGATTTGAAGAGGTTGCCACTCGCCTCTTCTCCTCCACAACAAACCAATGTTAGAGTTACCGCTCGCTCGCCTATTGCCCGAAGATTCGGGGCGAGGCGCAGAAGATTGAACGGTTTTAACACGTCGCTACCAGCCTCATCTCCAGTTTGCGAGGCTCACCTTACGAAGACAGGTGCGAGAGGATGGGACTGTACACCCTGGCCTACTGTCGGTTGCGAGTCGACCATATCATGACCTACCGGATTCTACATGTAGGAGACCTCCCCATACTTAGGCCACTGCTCCACTTGCGAATGCCTTGCAGTAGACGCGGATACGAATACTAGCTTGTGGTTCCAGATCTGAAGCGAATTACCAGTTCCCTGTGCTTAAAACGGCGAGTGGTAAATGCGTGCAACGGTTTGCAGGAACATACAGTGGAAGCGAACTCAGTATATCAGTTCAAACGATGAGCATTTCTCAAATGTCAGATTCCGAGAACGATTACCCACAGACATCTCACATTTTTCAGTCCTAATATCCTGTGAGTTAAACGATTTTTAACGATATCACGTGAGAAGGAGAAGAGCGGTCAGAGTATTGGCAAGTCCTAGTTTGCTTTTTTAACCTTTTTGATCATATTTCGATGGAGTCGTAAAGATCAAAATTTCCACTTACGCCCACAATACAGTACTCAGGATCGCCGAACAACCACTGGAAGTGGTGGGTCGGTTCACTTACCTTGGTAGCTATGTCACCTCTAGTGGCCACATCACTGAGAAGATTAATTCGCGTATCAGTAAGGCCTGTGTGACCTATCAAGCTTAACCATTTATGGAGACGACGGCGTATCAGCCTGTCAGGGATAGGGTGTGTAACGCTGCAATGCGGCCGGTGTTACTGTATGGATTAGAGACCTAGCCAGTTCGCAGTGAGGACACTAAACGCTTGGCTGTATTTGACCAACGATGAGTATTGCTCACGTCTAGTGGGAGCACCGGGTGAGCAATGCTGAGGTCCGCCAGTTGGTTTTTGGCAAGAAGCCTTCTGGTTCCTCACTCGAGTGTTTACTGAATATTAATCGCTTACGTTGGCTAAGTAGTGTCCTCTGTATGTCCGATTTAATCAGCGTGCATTATACGCCGTGGCTGCACCAAGCAAGGCGAAACCGCGAGGTGGCCAGTGCATGACGTGGCATAGAAGCACTAAGAAACTGTCTGAGGGACTTGGTCAGGCTTCAGCGTGCCTTCCGCCTGGATGGGGTCCCCGATATGGTTCATACAAGTGGTTGGAGACCCTATCAGGCATGGCACAGTTACGCAGTCAGTGGTGTGCCTGCATTTGGTTTCTTGCATCTGGCTGTTGAATTTCGCTCCATGCATTGAACCCCACTATTTTGTCGTTGTTATTTGGTATTCTTGCGATGTGAGTTGTGGCAACTGGATCCACCGCACTTCGGTGCTCGGATCATAGTTGTTCAACTGAAATGAATTGAGACCGGGGACAAAATAGCTTGGCTTTGTTCAGCATATGCAATAGTGTGCAGCGCAAGGACCATATGTACGGACTCACATGACGTGCCTGGATCAGTGGAGCCAGATGTGACGCTCATGAAGGCTACTTGGCTCAATTATAGAAATAGGCACGTTTGTTGTTACGCAGTGTTTCCACCACGCGTGGGCGAGGTCGATGATGTAACGAAGCCGATCCGAAACCGAGGTTTCTGGGTCTGGGATCGCGGAGTAGTGGCAGTCGTTTCCGAAGTTGCCCGTCATCACCATTTTGATCAGCCAAAGGACGGGTACAACTACTTTACATGCTTCATCACAGTTCTAGATCAAGTTAAACACTGGTGAACAGAACCAGGAGGCGTGTAGATGACAGCCAAAAGCTATCCGGAGTCCGCCTACACTAGTTTAAGAAGCACAGAAATGACGCGAAAATCGAACAAACATGCGGATCAAACGCAGGGGGTAGCTGAGACGCGTCCTGCTCCATAGCTGGACGAATTCTTGTGGGTAGCGTTGTAACGAGAACTGCCTCTCGACCCCGGGAAACAATCCGCAGACCTAAAGTATCGAAACGACGCCATCGGACGAATCGAGTGCTAACACATTTGGCGCACGGTATATGACAATTTCCTTAAGCACTGCGCATGCAGTCTTGGAAAGAAAAGGTAATACGGTGTCCGAACAAGCGCCAGTAGGGACTCAGGGACATACGGTAGGATGAAATTTCAGTCAATTCACAATAGGCAGCAATCGCTTGCAGCAAGACGAATTTTTAAATGATGAACAAACAGTGAGAAAAATCGCCGCTCACACAGATAACAGAGCGCAATAAACATTAAGGAAACGGTTGGTTAATAATTCAGCGCAGTCCGAAAGGGATTGCGTATAGACTTTTGGGTCGTTTGATCGGTTCCAAATGAAATGAGAAGACAGCATTGGCATCAGATGCAAAAATGAGTACGTGCTGGGGTTTGCAGCAGCAGGTTCATGTGCACAGGAAAACGTTTTCAGCGAAATATGTGAAGTATTGTTAAGTTAATGCTGCTCACTGTGTAGGGAAGATCATGTACTCGATTGTCATAAAATAAGACAAATTAGATGGAACAAGCACAGACGAACATATCTGTGGAGATCAAAGACACAAAGGGGTGAGTATATAAAATAATAAATAAAGATACGAGGAATTTGCAAGCCTAAAGGTACTAACCTGTGTCCAGTACCGGTAAACGGCATACAAGTTTTCATTTTACCGTAAGTTTGGTTATACTGTGTGGAATCAAGAACTTCTGCTCCCCGAACTTTGGCAGCCTGAAACAGACTGTGAACAAAATCCTCCGGCGAATGAGAAGGGTCGGGCCGATTTGGATTTTTCTTCGGAGGGCCCAAAACCTGCTGTCCTCCACCACCGGTCTCCGAGCCGCCAACGTAGAAAGCTTGGCCACTATCATCTTCCCGACTAAAACGTACACAAAAAGGAAGTTTATGACTTTGGTTATAAAGCAAAGGAGCCCCAAATACGATGGTGGCGTGCATAGAGGGGGGTATGAGTGAAAATCGAGGTGGAGGGATGCCAAATAGATAACAAGTGGTGGCAGACTGACATGAAAATGTTTGCTGTGGTCGAGGTGTGAGCGAAACTTCAATTATGATGAGCTGAAGAGAATGTGACCATCACTATTTAAGGAGCAAGAGAAACGTTCGAGATGAAGAAACTCGCAACCACTCCAGAGAAGAGCGTATAATACACGAGATTAACTTGGAGCACCATCGAAGCGCAAAACATGCGCAGTGGTCGTCATCGTCATCAGCAATACACGCTAGCTGATGGTGAGAAAGGCACCTCAACTAACGTGCTGTAATACAAAAGATATTAAAAATTACAGACAACAGAAGCTTCCAAAAGCAAGTAACAACGTTAGGCATCATAGTATGCATGTGGAATGAGATCGTAATTGGAGGGGTATCTAAAGGGGAATGGATGGACAAGGAAACTCACGACACAAACGCCACTAAGGTCGGCTCTTCGCCATATCAACAAGTATATTCAGCCAAACATGTACGTCGTCTTTGGAACCCAGATCGGAAGTGGAAAGGCACCAACCGACGCCAACTTCAAAGTGAGGGTTCACATTTCTCTCGAACAAGTCATCGATTGGCCTCCTTCTTCCATTCAGACTCCGGGCGCGTAAACAACGCGCGACGCTGGAGTCGGTGTACTGGCATGAGCAACACGTGACCCAGCCATCGGATCATGGCGCCTGAAATAATGGTGCTGAACGGTTCACTAGCTCTTCCTGCACCAAATACACAACGCTGAACACGTTCATTGTTCACGCGGTGCTCCCATCCGACATGAGCTAAGCTGCGAAGGCAGCGACTTATCTGGCGTCTTTATGTCTGTAGACCTGATAGACCAGATTTCACAACCATATAGGAGGGTTGAACGGACGGCTGTATCGAGAGCTACACTTCAGGGGGAAAGTGATGTCGCATCTGCGCCACAGATGGCGGAGATCGGCAAGAGCACCTAGAACTTTTGCTATACGGTTTGTGACCTCATCTTCGATCCCACGGACGCTAATATAGCTGCCTAAGTACTTGAATTTTGGAAAGACTTCTAGCTGATCACCACCAAGCGTCCGTGCAGGAGTGGGTCCCTGCCAATCTTGGAGAAGTTCGCATTTCGAGGGAGTAAAGCAAAGCCCAAAATGATTTACAGCCAGTGCTAATCTGTACAGTACTGCTTGACCCGTTTGGGAACTACCAAAGACTAGGACAATGCGTCGGCGCACTCGGAAGCAAGGAGTCGCTCACCTGAGAGCCTCTCCATAGCTTGCAAGACGTGTCCATAGAATGCTGTTTACATGACTTCGTCAATAGCGAAATGAGAGAGGAAAGATGAGCGGGCAATCTAGTCTCCCACCGTTGGAGATATTGAAGGACCTTGGTGATAAATAAGGATGACAATATATCACAGTCCTATTTGACTAGTCAGGGTGCAACGCTGTGGGGGAGACGGAGAAAAAGCGAAGGACATTATTGTTGGCGCTGTAATATAAAGTGAGGAAACGAACGCTCCCAAGAGCAAGATAAGACAGCAAGGACCAGACTAAAAGAGCCTGGGCACCCTGATGGATAATCAGATGTGTGATGATGACATGGCATAATCTCCAGTGAATAAGAAATCTGCGGGCATATAATGATGAGTTCAGTCACGTCACAGTCGGTTGACAACTACATTCGTTGGATTAAAAGCACCAGATAATCGGATTTAAGGCTGTAGTACTCTACCCTTGAGTACGGTGGCAAGATGTGAATTAAAAGAAAAGAAGAAAAGTATCAGAAGTACGCCTGTAAGCAGTACCGACGCTTCGCTACCAGGCAACCACCACCGGTCTCACGTGGGCTGAGGATATTTGCGAGGGTCGCTCTGTTCCTACACTAGCTCGAACCCGCGCCAGCAGATTACAAGACAAGCTAGTCACCTTTAGCCTATGGGTTAGCGAAGTATTGTTTGTCATATCAATCGTAGGTTGGGAAAACCAAGGTTGAAGGAGGAGAATTGGTAAAGTGATGCAGACAAGATGGCATGTGATGAAGAATGCGATAAAAACTTTCTGCAGCTGTTATACCGTAAGCCTAAAAGGCTGAACAGAAGCAAAGCCAAGTAAATAGTGAAAAATGAAATACTTCAAAGATCAATATGGCTTCGAAATGAACCAGTAAACTGATGATTACGAAACATAATAGTACTTCCAGTGAACGCGGAGCAACGTCGAAAATGTGCATGGCGAACTACACGCTCGATCGTGAGTGTGCAAGAGAGCGAGGCTATAAAAGTTGATATTTCCAAAACAAAGTACATCGCTCTCTGTAAGACGAATCGTCTGAAGGCGCTCTTTGTTGTGATCCGGAACTAAGATAATGATCAACATACTAATAAACCACAGGTTGCCTAGTCGAACATCACACGCCAATTGTTTAGTTGTCAACAATCCGTGTTATCCGTTACCAGATACCTGCGCTCATGCATCTGCCTGCGATTCCGGTTGCACCGTGACCCATGGTGTTCAACCGGCGGCCTTCCTTCGACCCTGATCCTCGTTCCTTCTGGCGTGTTTCAACGTACGGACGCTCATGTAGATTAAAAAGCAAGTCGGTTTAGCGTATACTCCGGAGACTCTTGATATTGATGTCTGCTACCTTTCCGAAACCAGACTGCAGGACCCCAGCAATGTGCATTAGCTGACACTCCTCACCGACCACGGAGCCACGTAACATATGCGTCTTTCCGGAGAACTAGAAGAAGTCTCAGCAGGTTTGGCTGGTGTAGGTATAGCACTAAACGACAGGGCAGAGGACGCACTGCTGGATCGGTTCCTGATTAACAGCCGAGTGTGAAAGGTTCGGCATGGGGGTTCATGTGGAATGAACGGGCGTCACGAGGAAAGACCTAACCTGTTTGTGAGCTCCGCGTACGCTTCGAATGACTGCACTAGTGGCTCGGTCGAAGACGACTTTTATCGGGAGCTTTATCAGTTTTTGAGTAACGCTAAGAAATCGGATGTCGTTGGCCTCGCTGGGTATTTCAATATATGGGTTAGACGTCTGTAACCAAACACCATGGCGATGACCACCACGCACTTCATGAGGACAGATTAGATAACGGAGATTTTTCGCACTGTTCGAAGACAAGCACCTCTTTCTCTAGAGCATTAACTTCAGGCATCCGAAGAAATGTCCCGCAAGTTGGTTTCCCCTTCACCTAAAAAAGGTGGTATCAAGTTGATCACTGAAAGCAGCTTCAGATAGTGGGGGTAGTGTACAGGGACTGAGGTCATTTTGGTCCACCTTCAGTAACTTTGCAAAAATCTGCATGTTTTGGGGGACCACAAAAATGAAGTAGCGCAAGACTGTTGAAAACTGATTAACTGGCTTCGCGGTCCAGGCGAACTATCAGTCTTCACTGGCAGTCGCACTCAGCCGCATTGCACCGCAAGACGTTGAGCAACACTGGGCTTGTACACAGGCGATAATCACTTCTGGACAATCAAGTTACAGTTTAACCCGACGCCATTTAAAGGCTTAGATTACTGCGCGCTCTTTGGAGCTTTCGACCGTGGCAGATATGTCGGCAGAATCAGATTGCAAAAAGCGCGGACGTTTTGCCAACCAGCTGCTCAAGGATGGTGAGGCTTGGTGGTCTGAGCGTCTTTTGGAGATGTAAGCCGTTGCCCTCCCTGGTAACACCCAACTTTTCCAAATCGTTCGGTCCTTTGGCCTCAGGAAGTCTGGTGTCAGTGATGTTATTTGTGAGACGGATGGATCTCCGACAATCAATCAGAAGAGGCTTATGGACCGCTTTGCCGAACCCTTTCATTTACAATTCAACTGGCGTCCACCGTCCACCCGTAAAGACGGTGCACCTTGTTGCCTACCGTGACAATGCGGTTGCAAATTTTTCTACTGTACATCACGCTTGATTGCCACCTGCCATTCTAACAGACAGCTATGTAGTATAATATTAATATTGACCTAAATACCAGTAAATGATGGCGAAATTCCTCCTCAAGAATCAGAAGACATGTAGAAATGAAATTGACACAGCAGAAATCCATATCCTGAGCAGCGTGCTAATGCTGGTGGCGAACAATGTACCAACTCTCAACTGAGTAGACTGCCATCAGAATATAGTGTTCGAAGGGTTAGAGAATTATTCGCTAGGCATATAGCATTCGGGAGTGGCGTAAACTGTACACGCAAAGGAGATCAGAGAACATTCCATTATATGGAACATTCTCAGCAATTCATTAAACCAGTCTGTGACAAATAAGTGTTTTCCTTAGTTTCTCTCATTAGCAAACCATCTGCTCAAGTTTTATACACTCCTAACAGCTCTATCCTACTTGGAAAAATTATCCAAAATTATTAATGGTTTACAGATATCAGTGAAACAAGAAAGGTTCGCGTCTATAGTACACCAAATAAATTGGCCTTACATTGCAACTTCAGTTAACTGAAGGTCGATGCTGCAGGCCGTCACCAATTTCACGGTATCTGCCGGTAAGTCGAGGTTTCGAGAAAGGTACAGTTAAGTTGAGTTCCTGTGTTTCATAGAATTTGATGCTTTCTTTGGTGAATGAATAAGTTCAACTCATACACGAACGGGCCTGTCCGCGAAAGCATACTGGATGGTATAAAATTTCAAAGAAATGGAAATAACCAGAATCCGTTTTACATCCTTCTACTTAGGTAGATGGGTTCTATAAATGCACTCAAACCTTCGATTTCCTAGAATGAGCCTTGTTCACCCAACTGGTATGCTTCAGGAATGGCAACACTGTTTGAGGGCGAAATTTCAGTAGAACTTGGCGCTTGTCCAATAAAATCTGAAATCAAAGCCAACGCTCGTTTTAGGCATAAGGAAACAAATTAAAAAGGATGGAAATGTTCACA